ATTTTGGTCATGCATGCCTTGCTTTGTATAGCCATAGTGTAATCTTGCTTACTAGCTTGGTGTTTTGAGTCCACTAGCATGCATTGCTTGGGTTATTTGCATGATTTAGAACCATTTGATATATGATTTCCAAGCATGTTTCACTGTCATACCCTCGTGTGTATCACTCTTTTAATGCTTTGGAGGGTTATGCTTTATGCCTCAATCATGAGCCAATATGTATGCAAGCTTGCCTAAGCTTTTGGCCTACCATTTCAGTGTGTTTTTGGTCTTATTTTGCCATGATACAACCCTGTTTTTGGTTGGTTAGAGCATCCCTCATTTGCTTCTTACACTTGTAGTATAATCATGCTCATTGGCTTAGCTTACTTGGTGCTTTGGCCTTTTATTCTAGCATATGTTGGCTATGTTCAAGCATGTTTTTGGCCTTGTTTTGGCATGTTCTAGGACTGTTTTGAATCATCTTGGCCCTTTGGGGGTTGCTTGATATGGCTATGGTGCAAATGTCTTTGCTAGCCTTAAGCTTTGAGTCTCCTAGCATGCTTCATTTGTGATATGTGCATGATATGGCATCATTTGGAATGTAATTTCAGAGCTTATGTCTTTTCTATAACCCCATGTTTATCACTCTTTCATTGCTCTTGAGGATTATGCATTATGCCTTGTTTGTGGGCCAATGGATGAGCATACTTTGCTTGCCTTTCGAGCCTATGTTTTAGCTTGTTTTTGGCCTTGATTTAGCATGCCTCAACTCTTTTTTTGAGTAGTTTGGGTCATATGGGATTTGTTATGCATGGTTGTAGTGCAATGGCTTTGACTAGCCTAGTGATTCAAGGTCCTTAGGATGCTATGCTTGTGTTGTTTGGATGATTTGGCATCATTTCACACATGATTTTAGTGCACATAGTGTAGCTACACTCTCACATTTGTCACTTCTTCATTATGTTTAAGAGTTGTACTTCATGCCTTGTTGATGAGCCAATGCATGCACATTATTGTCTTGCCTTTCATGCTATATTTCAGCTCACTTTGGCCACTGTTTTGGCATGCATGAGGTCTGTTTAGGGTTGGTTTAAGTCCATTGAGCATTGTATTGCATGCCTCTTGTATGATTCTCTTTACTTGCTTTGATGCTTTAGCCTGCCATGCATGCATTGCTTATATGATGGAACCTCATGAGTGCTACATTAATAACATTGATAGATAGGCATGTTGCGTGTGTTGCATTGTGTTTGAATTAGATGTTAATCCGAACATAAGGAATGTGGCACGTTTCATACTCAAAGTGATGAAACGCATTGCGTTTCTTAGTCGCCAACCCTCTTGATCATGCATGATAGAGGTGGAGGCCCTTATGTGTTATTTGTGCATTCATTGACATTGACTTCTGCAAACTCGGCTTCTCGGCCATCTTGCATTGTAATGCTCGGTTGGTGGCCCGAGAGTAGAGTACCGCACTCATTTGAGCCTGAGAAATGATAGGGAAAGTGGTTGTGCACACATATCTTGCAAATACACTGCTATGCCCTTTCTTATTCTCTGTGGCAGCAAAACTAGAGTTTGGCAGATTTTCTAGTCGGCAGACCAGTAAAGGTGGTCGATCGACCAGTTTTTCTGGTCTACAACCAGTTTTTCTGGCCTACTGGTGGTCTACAGCTCCTTTTCCTGGTCGGCAGCCCACCAGGAGGTCCCCATGTTGGAGCAGAAGCAATCTGGAAGTTTGTGCAGTGTTTTGAGATCAAATCAAATGCGAACAGAGGCAATTATGGGCATAGTAATGGATTTTCGAGCGAGGCGATCGAGCATGCATGCACCCCTCGCCCCGAGGACCTCATTTAACTGCTTTATTTAGCTGCTTTACTTAGTTAGCTAGTTCATCGGTTTTGTACTTAATTAGTTAACGTTCTTAACTAATCGATTTGTGTTGTAATAACTAGTTAGTTAACTAGAATAGCTAATTGGTTTCGGTTTGTAATAATTAGTCTAATTAGTTTAATTAGATTAGTTAGCTCAGCTTAGCCTAGAGTAGCTTAGCTTATTCATTTGGACCCTCTATTGAGAGGGCGTATTGTTGTAATAAGGGTGCGTGTGTGTATGAATGTCTTTCAACCCCATGACTTTCTCCCTTTCACTTACCTACTTTCAATGGTTAGTTTTAGGGCATATTTCAATTAGCATCCTTATGCTTGCATGCATGCATCATTCATTTGTCTTGCATGCACCGGGCTCGGCGCATCATTCAAACTGCATTGTATTTCAATACATTTACTTGAATAAGTGTTTAAAAACATGTTATCAAATGTTGCATTCATATGCCATCTTAGCTAGCCGAGCCTACTTAGTTGCATTTTGCATGTGTTGCATTAGGCATTGTTGACATAGCTAGGATCATACATTGATTACTAACTAGCTTCTATTTTGGCTTGGAGTACACTGTAAGTGTTTATGCTTTAGAATCCTTGCATGCGTGTAAGTGTTGCCATGTTTAGCATGCTTGCCATGAGGCTATGTGCTTAACTACTATAACTGCTTGAATGCCTGTGGATGAAGACTTCATTGCTTAAATTGGAACAATTCATCAAAATGTGCATTTTAAGCCCACTTGTTTGTGGCAAATCATGTTTTAAGCCCACTTGAGGGTGGCAAATCCGTGTCTTAGCCTACTTGCGAGTAGCATTTTCAAACCATTTTCGAAAAACAAACATGAGATGTTTTGTTCCAATTCTTGCGATTGAGTCTATACTTGTATGTTGTGCGCATCACATAGTAAGTTAGCCAATAAACCGGAACAAGAACACATGTGTTTTCAAAAACAACATATCATGTTAGTGGAGGCCGATCCTTTGATAGGGCGAGCGGGGGTGCTCATTTCAGGACCTTCCCCTCTCGTACCCAAGTTCCCGAGCCGAGGCAACTCTGGTGATGACGGACACGTGGCCTTAGGCACGAGTCAGGGTTTCCTAAATTTTCCAAACACAAAATATTTAGGTGGCTGTAGACGCGCCCGCGGGCCTCGCTATAGTTCGGACTCAATTTGTGTCACGGTTCTTAATCTGAACCAAAGAGTCCAAATCCGGTAAATCGTTTTTAGAAACAGATTTTTTGAAAAAGAAGTGCCAAACATGGACTGCTTTTCCAGATACAGAGTCGCTACATAAATATTTTATTTTGGGAAATTTAGGAAACCCTGACTCGGTGCCAAAGGCCACGTGTCCGTCATCACCAAAGTTGCCTCGGCTCGGGAGCTTGGGTACGATTGGGGAAGGTCAGCTATGAGCACCCCCTCTCGCCCGATCCGAAGATCGGCCTCTACTAACCATGATATCCGATTTTGAAAACGTTATGTGTTCTTATCCCGGTTATTAGCCTAGAATTACTATGTTATACGCACAGCAAACAAGTATAGACCAAATTGCCTAAATTGGGACAAAACATAGCATGTTTGTTTTGAAAAATGGTTTGCTACTCGCAAGTAGGCTAAAATGCAGGTTTTGCCACCTTCGAGTGAGCTTTTAGAAAAACATGATTTTGCCACTATCTAGTGGGCTTAAAACTCACAGTTTTAATGCATTATTCCAACTTAAGCAATTTGACCTTCATCCACAGGCATTCAAGCAGTTATATCACATAAGCAGCTAACCTCATGGTAATCGTGCAATCATGTTAACATTCACACGCATGCGAGAAGCTAAAGCATAAATACTTACAATGTGCTCTGTGCCAAAACAATAAACTAGTTAGCAAACATGCGTGATCGACAAAACATAGCATGTTTGTTTTGAAAAATGGTTTGCTACTCGCAAGTAGGCTAAAATGCAGGTTTTGCCACCTTCGAGTGAGCTTTCAGAAAAACATGATTTTGCCACTATCTAGTGGGCTTAAAACTCACAGTTTTAATGCATTATTCCAACTTAAGCAATTCGACCTTTATCCACAGGCATTCAAGCAGTTATATCACATAAGCAGCTAACCTCATGGTAATCGTGCAATCATGTTAACATTCACACGCATGCGAGAAGCTAAAGCATAAATACTTACAATGTGCTCTGTGCCAAAACAATAAACTAGTTAGCAAACATGCGTGATCCTAGTTCATGTTAAAGTGGCTAATGCAACGTATACAAAATGCAATTAGGATAAGCTCGGCTAATCCTAAAATGGCATGTAAAGTACGGCAAGTAGCATGTATTCAAGTCAGATTTGAAATACGATACAGTTAACATGATGTGCCGAGCCCGGTGCATGCAATACTGATGAATGATGCACGCATGCATAGCATAAGGTATGCTAAAGTAAACATGTCCTAATACTAACCATCAAAGCAGGTAAGTAAAAGGGAGAAAGAAGTGGGGGTTGGAAGACATGCACACACACACCCACACTTATTACAGATTTGCCCTCGCTCGGAGGGACCGAAAGAATAATACAAATTAATTAACCTACAAGCTAATTAATTATTAAACATGCTTTGAAACACGTATTCAAGCAACTATTGAAATACAATGTAGTTTGTATGATGCGCCGAGCCCCGTGCATGCAAGACAAATGAATGATGCACGCATGCAAGCATAAGGTATGCTAATTGA